CAACTAGAAATTAAGCATACACTGACTGAAATAAAGAATATTATACAGACACCCAACAGCAGACCAGAGGAGCGCAAGAATCAAGTCAAAGATTCGAAACGCGAAGAAGCAAAAAACACCCAACCGGAAAAGCGAAATGAAAAAAGAATCCGAAAATACGAAGATAGTGTAAGGAGCCTCTGGGACAGCTTCAAGTGTACCAATATCAGAATTATAGGGGTGCCAGAAGATGAGAGAGAGCAAGATATTGAAAACCTATTTGAAGAAATAATGACAGAAAACTTCCCCCACCTGGTGAAAGAAATAGACTTACAGGTCCAGGAAGCGCAGAGAACCCCAAACAAAAGGAATCCAAAGAGGACCACACCAAGGCACATCATAATTAAAATGCCAAGAGCAAAAGACAAAGAGAGAATCTTAAAAGCAGCAAGAGAAAGAAACCCAGTTACCTACAAGGGAACACCCATACGACTGTCAGCTGATTTCTCAACAGAAACTTTGCAGGCCAGAAGGGAATGGCAAGAAATATTCAAAGTGATGAATACCAAGAACCTACAACCAAGATTACTTTATCCAGCAAAGCTATCATTCAGAACGGAAGCTCAGATAAAGAGCTTCACAGATAAGGAAAAGCTAAAGGAGTTCATCACCACCAAACCAGTATTATATGAAATGCTGAAAGGTATCCTTTAAGAAGAGGAAGAAGAAGAAAAAGGTAAAGATACAAATTATGAACAACAAATATGCATCTATCAACAAGTGAATCTAAGAATCAAGTGAATAAATAATCTGGTGATCATAATAGAATCAGGGACATAGAAAGGGAATGGACTGACTATTCTTGGGGGGGAAAGGGGTGTGGGAGATGCGGAAAGAGACTGGACAAAAATCGTGCACCTATGGAAGAGGACAGTGGGTGGGGAGTGAGGGCGGAGGGTGGGGCGGGAACTGGGAGGAGGGGAGTTATGGGGGGAAAAAAAAGAGGAACAAATGTAATAATCTGAACAATAAAGATTTAAGTAAAAATAAATAAATAAATAATAATCCAATAGCATCCTCCCCATCCAGGCCCATCAGTTAGCTTATAAAAAAAAAAAAAAAAAAAAAAAACTTGTACAGGAATATTTATAGAAGCATTGTTCACAACACCAAAAATAATGAAAACCACCCAAATGTTTATCAATGGATGACGTATAAATAAAATCTGTTATAGCTATGCAATGGAATATTATGCAATTAAAAGGAGTGGAGTACAATATGGATAAGCTTTGAAAACATTATGCTAAGATGGAACCACATATTTTATGATTCCATTTATATGAAATGACCAGAATAGGCAAATGTGTAGAAGTAGGAAGTAGATTGGTGGTGCCAAGAGCTGGAGTGAAAGAGAAATGGGAACTGATTGTTAATGGAAAAGGGGTTTATTTTCAGGACAATGTTCCTAAATTTCATGGCGATGCTTGCATAACTCTGTAAATACACTAAAAAATACTGAATTGTATACCTTAAATGGATAAATTGAATGGTATGTGAATTATATCACAATAAACTTGTGTTTAAAGCCCTATCTATTGTAAACAGACCAAAGGCACCTAGTTTACTTAGTAGAGCATGAGACTTAATGTGAAGAGGCTGGTTGCCAATTAGAGACCTGAGAGGAAGGGGCTGACTGCTCAGATCACTTCCCTGATTGTTACTAAAGAGTCCTTATCAAGTCCAGAGAAAGATACAGATTCACATAGGGATGTTGGTAACCAAACAGCTTTAACTCCCTTAGGCTTATACTTGACCAGGAGAGATGGCTGCACAGCACAGCCACAAGTAATCCTAATCAACCCACTTTATTGCTCCTACAATCTGCTCTCTCAGGGTCCCTATCACTCTCCTGAACTGTACTAATGCCTCTGAATTCACCAAAACTTATCTAATCTGTCCCAACTTTGCCAAACCGGTTTGGCTCAGTGGATAGAGCGTCGGCCTGCGGACTGAAAGGTCCCAGGTTCGATTCCGGTCAAGGGCATGTACCTCGGTTGCGGGCACATCCCCAGTAGGAGGTGTGCAGGAGGCAGCTGGTCGATGTTTCTCTCTCATCGATGTTTCTAACTCTCTATCCCTCTCCTTTCCTCTCTGTGGAAAATCAATAAAATATATTTTAAAAAAAAACTTATCTAATCTGTCCCAACTTCATACTCTGAAATAGGTGGCTGTATAATCTCATCTTCCATGGGTAAGAAAATACTATAGCCGAAACCGGTTTGGCTCAGTGGATAGAGCGTCAGCCTGCGGACTGAGAGGTCCCGGGTTCGATTCCAGTCAAGGGCATGTACAGTGGCATGGCAAGGATTTAAACCCAGATTTATGCTGACAACAATGTGCGTAACCAATATGCCATTCTATGTTTCTAAGAAAAGCTCTTTCACACCCCTGCTAGTCACTCTCTCCATATTTTGCATATGTGCAGTTATCTAGTAAAGAGCAATTTTGTGTCTTATTCACGTGGTTCCCATTTGTTCCACCAAACATAGTTTTCTTAAGGTTCAGATTCACTGTTCTGACCAATCAGAGCCCAAGATTGTTTTCTACATTACCAGTTTACCCAGTCTCCCATCCTACTAGCACATTAATAGAAGTGTCCAAAATTTTGTGCAAGCATTCAGTGCAAAACTCTGAGCCTTTCCTCTACCTCTAGCTCAGCTGTCCTTTTTATTTTCTTTACCTGGGGGTGGGGGTGGGGTGAGCAGTGACACCTACTTCACTCACACATGCTGGTGAATATGTGATTAAATATAGACGGAAGTGACAAGAGTCCCTATTGAGAGTTCAAAGCTAATTACGTAAAGTGTCTTGAAAAGCATTTGAAAACTTGTAAAAAGTGTCAAGAGCCATAATGCTTTTTTAGAGACAGAAAAGTAAAGTATAAAAGATTAAAAGAGTCTGTATTTGTCCAGAGCTCTTCTTGGGCACGGGAATGACTGACTGGCTGGGCATGTAGCTGCAAACAACCTTCACTTCCAGAATGAAGTGACCAAATGTTTTTATGTACATTTAAAAATATGTATTATTTTAGAGCAAGAAATGGAGGGGAGAGAGAGAGAAGAGAAGAGAAGAGAAGAGAAGAGAAGAGAAGAGAAGAGAAGAGAAGAGAAGAGAAGAGAAGAGAAGAGAAGAGAAGAGAAACATCAGTTACCTCCTACAACCCGGACACCCTGTTGTGTACGGGAGGATGCTCCAACCAACTGAGCCACACCAGCCAGGGCTTTAATTACATTTTAAAATAATATTTTTAACTAAAGGAAAGCACCTCCTTCTTTCCTTTGCATATATGCATGTGCCCGTCGTGCTCAATGCTGAACCGTTCTGAGAGGCAGAAACTGTAAGCACCTGGACCACACTCCACAGTAAGTCTCAAGCACCCTTGGGTCCCTTTTGTGTCATCTATGGTAACTGTTTGACCTCTCCTGATTTCTGCACTGTGAGTACCTGGCACAGTGCCCTGTGTAGCTCAGGGGCTGAGCTGATCGAGGAAATGAAAAGGGCCTGAATGGCCCGACACAGGAAAAAGGTAATGGGAAGCCACCGAAGGGCTTTAAGCAAAAAAGGGTTCCAATAAAACCCGTTTTCCAAGGCACACTTTGGAGACTAGTTTGGAGAGAAGAATGTCCCAGAGACTGCCTCAGGCAGAGACAAAGGCTGTATGAGTTATGGTGCTGGTGCTGGCAGAAGCCTGGGAAAGGGGAGGGAACCTGAACCACTAGAGTAGTGATGGCGAACCTATGACACGCGTGTCAGAGGTGACACGCGAACTCATTTTTTTGGTTGATTTTTCTTTGTTAAATGGCATTTAAATATATAAAATAAATATCAAAAATATAAGTCTTTGTGTTACTATGGTTGCAAATATCAAAAAATTTCTATATGTGACGCGGCACCAGAGTTAAGTTAGGGTTTTTCAAAATGCTGACACGCCGAGCTCAAAAGGTTTGCCATCACTGCACGAGGGTCTGGGAAGGGCCTTCACTTCCTTTTTGAGACTGAGCCACCCCCAGCACAGCTTCTGCTTTGCATGGGCTGGGGTAGTTTAGGGGGAGAGGGGGCAACCATACCTTGCAACAGCCTGAGGCCCCTAAAACTCGCTGCACAGCTGCCAGCTGTCCCTTTTCAGTACTCAACATGCTATAGTCCCTGGCACTATTGCCCCATACCAAAAGCCACTCCTCCATTGCCACGGGGGAGATAATATTCTTTAGGGTTCTGGGGACATGAAATGAAGGAAGGCTTCCTGGAAGAGACTTTACCTGTCCTGGTCCCTGAAGGGCAGATATAAATGGAGGGAACAAACATTCCAAAATAAGCATAGTACAAACAAATGCATGAATAGTAGAGTATCTAAGAGCAAAGACAGTTGTGGGTTGTAATCCCAGCTCAATTAGTTGTGTCATCATAGCCAATTTACACCTCTTTGAACTTCTGTTTAAATTCTTAAAAATCTAGATAATAATATTCCCTCTCCAGGGGCTGGGAAGATTGAATGGAGTCATAATAAGCACCAGACACAGTCTAAGCTTTCAATAATAAAAAAACAACGCAATCAACTATAAAGCAATAAATATGAGTCATTTTTTACAAACAATAGTAGTTAACTTTGCCAATATTGGTGAATAATGGGAGAAAAGTTTGGAAAGGTAAATTGAGCCCAGACCAAGGTAGGTCTTTAAAAATTAGGAAAATTTTAGAAAAATTAGAATAGAGCAAATTCAAACTTTGTGTACAAAGGAGAGAGACAGAGAGGTTGCTTTAAAGATGGACAAGTTACTTGGAACTCCTTTGTAATTCATTAATGTCTTGTTTATTGTCTAGAACTCTGAGCTTCATGAGCTATGGATCAAGTCTATTTTGTTCACCACTCTATATTTAGAACCTTGCACAGCGCCTGGCCCACAGTATGCACTTAATACATTGAAATAATAAATGAAACATTATAAGGCGGGGGGGGGGGTGAGCAGGGGAGAGGGGGAATCAAAAATATCCCAAGAATACAAGCATAAATGACAGAAAAAATACATAAGATTGTTAGTACAGAGGAAATAATGAGTTTAAATTCTGGACTCTACAAGTTTGAGAAGCCTGTAGTGTCTTGTGGTGTTCATAGCCATATGTGGAATCGGAGCTCAGAGTGGACGGAGGTGGGGGCTCGAGATGTGTCGTTGAGACTCATTAGCATACAAGTAACGATCCACATCACGTAAGAGTACTGCGGCTTTAAGTAGGAGACACGTCCAGAAGAGCCGTTGGAGAGGAGTTCGGAGCGGAGAAGGTAGTCAGAGAAAAGCGGCAGTTAGAACTAGGCAAAAGGAAAGACAAACAGGGTGGGGGAAAAAAGGTTAAGAATATGAGACGATTTGGAAGAGGCTGGTATCAAAGAGACAGAGGAGGATACCGAGGAAGGAGTGACCGCGTCTATGGCCGTGGCCGCGACTATGGCCGTGGCCGCGACTATGGCCGTGGCCGCGACTATGGCCGTGGCCGTGACTATGGCCGTGACCGCGACTATAGTCGTGATCGTGATCCTGACCGGGAGCAGGAGCGGGAGCGTGAGCGTAGTCATTACCGTTCCCGCGACCATGATCGTTACTATGAGCAGCCACAAGCCAGTTACTCAAGGTAAGACTATATATAGCGATACTTAATTGATTTGAACCCCCAGAAGTTGTTGGCAGCTTTGACATGGGCCGTTTTAAAGGATGCTGGGGAGTAAAGTACGTTTGCAGAGGAAGTTAAATTAGCTTAAGTTTTAATTCCAACTAGTTTTTGACCTGAAGCCGATTACTTAATTAATGTCTTAACTATAAAATGGAGATAATACGCCATAGTGTTACTGTAACTGAACAAGTAAATATGGGTTAAAATGCTTAGAAAAGTACCTTGCTCGTTGTCACCAGTCAATATATTTTAACTGTTAGCGAATCGGCTGTGGAAGGTGGTGAATGGCGCAGTCGACTAATCTTCATTTTAGGTCTATAAGAATGGGAGAACCGGATGAGCCTTTTCCACTGGATAGTGCAAATTCAAATAGTGAGTTATCATAGGAGTACTACGGAGATGTTGGGGTTCAATACGAGGATCGATTCTTCCAGATTGTTCCAGAACTCTAAAACTTTCTTTGCCAGTCATGCGCAGTATGATTGCGCGCGCTTCAAGTTCCACCCATTTTTCCTATAGGCTACAGGTCCTGTATGTCTTTCCTCGGTTTCTCATTGGTCTTCAGCTAGCCTTGGTCCCGCCTCTGAAAGCAAAGAGGTTCCCCCTGTTGGATCTTAGTTCTTTTTGCTTGTCTCCGCGCCTGCGGTAGGAAAAGTGGCAACGTTAGAGTATCTACTTTACAAAAGCAAAGTGACTTTTTTTCTTCCAAACTAAGTAAATATCAAACAAGTGAATACCTTGGGCGATTGGGAAGGTACAGTCGGAACTGAAGGGAAGCGGTTTAAGGTTGGAACCATGGGATTCTTTTAAGAACGTACCGAAATACTTCCGGGAGAGAATGGGCGGAGAAAGAATTCCGTATGTTTGGCGGGTTTCACTATCTTCCTTAATATTTGGTCCTCCTACAGCAGAGGGAGCCGGACACGTGAGGAAGTAGTGACGCCGCCACTGCCTCAGGCTGCTTCAGGCTCCCCAATGGCCATGCCTGTGGTGAGTGCCGGGACCGTGGGCAGGGTGCCGGAGCGCTGCAGTCGGGCGGCTGAGGGGAGGGTCGCCGGCCGGGTGGCTGCAGATCACGTGTTCAAGTAGCGAATCAGGGGCTGGCCCGCCGGGCTCGGGGCGGGGCCCGCTCTCCGCAGACCCCCTCTATTCCTACACCCGCTGCCTGGGACCCCCCAGTTCCCGACTCCCTAGTCCCGGGGGCTGTGCAATCTCTTTAAGATGCCAGAAAGAAAAAGGACCCTGAGATGGGAACTAGCGAGAGGCGGGCATGTCGGGGTCTGTGGTTTGTGGCTTGCAAACTCCTTTTTGGATTATCTCCCGCTCTCTATATATAACTTTTGATCACCTGAGCTAGAAATGAAACTAGTTCTTAATTCAAATAGTAGGCTGGGCTGGGTAAATGGCTAGGGAGGAAGGTGTTGTTTTTTTTTCCTGCAGGAGAAAACCCCAACATTTCTTTTTTTTTCGGTTTTACAATTCTTTACAAGTGCTGGTAAATTTTTATGTAATGTGAGGAAGTTTCCTAAGGACCTAATTTTTCAAGTAGTTCATTGAACTTTATTGTTACTATACATTTTTTTTTCATTCAACAACTCGATTTTGGTTATAACTTCTCTCTTGAAAAAAGAACTCGGCACTTTTCAAATTTATTCAGTGGCAATTCTCCCACCCCCACTTTTTTAAAGTTTCTGGCTGGAACATTTTTATTACGGTGAATGTTTTGTAAAATATTGGAAGCCTAAAGTAAGGACTGAAGTACTAGTTTCCAAGTTAAGATTATAAATTTATATTTGAAGTGAGAAAAAAATGTATCAAATGCACTAATGAGAGACGAATATGTCCTAAATATATGTACCCAAACATAGTGAAAATTTTAAAAATTGGAAACTTTTGAGCCCTAAGCCTTTAAAATGCCAACATTTATATGGAAGAATGTGGACTGTGTACAGAGCTGCAAAGTGATTGAAATAAATCAGCTTCTGTTGATGATTTTGTGTTTGTGAGCGTTTGGAAGGATGGTAATGTACACTTCTAAAATTTTTCTTGTAGGATTTTAAAACTTATGTAGACCAGGCATGTAGAGCTGCTGAGGAATTTGTCAATATTTACTATGAGACAATGGACAAAAGAAGACGGGTGAGTGTTATAAGCTATATTACTCTTTATTAAATACCATTATTTTTCAATCCAGCCATTCATCTGACTTGCATAAGTGATAACTCTGATATTGAGCAGACTGACATATTTCAGAGGGAAGGAGTGGTGGGAAGAGATTAACCTAAGAATTTATATGCATACATGCATAGCCCATGGACACAGACAATAGTGCCATGAAGGCCTGGGGAGGGGGTGGGAGTGGAGTGGAGGGGGTCAATGGGGAAAAAGGGACAGCTGTGATACTTTCAACAGTAAAGATTATATATATATATATATATATATATATTTACATATGCATATATGTATATATATCAGCTTTGTGTTTACCTATCTCTGACCTTAGGCAAGTTGCTAACCTCTCTTAAAACCTCATTTTATTTTTAGAGTGATAAATGGGAATTTAAATACTGCACTTAACAAAGGACCCAACATATATTTATTTAAATATGTTACATTTTCTCAGTCCCAATTAACTTCAGTTTGGTTAAAATAGTATTAGTGCTGGTGAAGGAGTCTGACATTATAGGGAATGTTCCCGGATTTGTCCCTTTAATGGAATATATTAATAGATAATTTTTAAATTAAATCTCACAGCTGTAGCTGGCACTCACAAGCATAATCCTCATGACTTGGATACTTTTAGTCTTCAAAAGAACAACTTATCACTTTGTCAGCTTTTTTCATTGTAATTTGTCCCTGAGCCATATCTTCTAAGTAATTGTTTCAGTATGTGCTTCAAGCTTGCCTAGGTCTCTTATCAGTATAGGACTGTATTTTAGAGAACTTTCTCAAAAATAGTTAGCAGGCACAGAAGCTAACATCTTATATCTAAAAATTTATTTTTTAAGGCAGAAGATAAAAGAAGTCCCAGGTACTGATTTTTTATGACATGAGACCAGGGACAAGGGATGTGACAATGGATGTTTATTGTGCCTTCCTGCTTTCAAAAATAAAGTAGCAAAAAAAAAGGCAGAGTCGAGATATATGTTGGCCTTTAAATCCAAGATAAATTTTAGAATTAAGCAAATAATGAGTCCTGTGACACACTAAACTGCTGTGACTAAAGAGTTTACTGAATTTTGCCTTAGTGAAGCTTTAATTTGACTTATAAAAAACTGCTTTAGCAAGTACTGGTGATTCTTTTGAATTAAATATGCTGTTTGAGTAGTAAAAACAACCCATTCTTCCTAACATAACATTAAATGGCGCAGACATGAAATGACTCCATGTATATGAACACTAGGATTAAAGTGTACAGGTAGGGCCTGATGGAAGACAACTTTGTTAATTCTCAGAAAAAGAAGAGAGACTAAAACTGGTTTGGGTTGTAAGTGCTTGAAACTTGTGACCATTTAATTCATTTAAATATAGAAAGCAAATTTTTAAAACTCTTCCAGTTTGGATGCAAAGTTTTCTCATTGTGGCTAAAGTAAAATATGAAAAAAGTATATTTAGCTGCCTAGTTTATTAAGAGTAAACCTTGTTCATGTTTTCCAGTGCAAGGGGGCAGGGGAGTAGAGATGGAGATAGAACTATGAAAATGTTTGTATATTACCTGTATGTAACCTTTCAGTTCATTTCTGTTAAAATGCCTTCCCAGAAACAAACTATTTTCGCTTTTCTTTTATCTTTTTTTTTAGGCACTGACCCGGCTGTATCTGGACAAGGCCACTTTAATATGGAATGGAAATGTTGTTACAGGGCTGGACGCCTTAACTAATTTTTTTGAGGTGTTGCCTTCTAGTGAATTCCAGGTTAATATGTTAGATTGCCAACCAGTTCATGGTAAGAGCAAGGTCTTTTAAGGTGTTTATTTTGTTTTATTTTAGTGAGCACTGAGTTATCAAATTAAACTTTTGGTATCCTTTTAGATCCATCTCACTCCAACAGATCATTAGTATGTTTTGGTGGATTATGTGATTATAGTTTATTAACAGTTATGTGAGAAATTGAAGCTAAATGTGATTTTTATTTATGGGAAATAATAATCTATTTTCTCTAAATAGTTGCCTTCTATGCCTTGTACTGTCTCCAAAAAATTATGTCCCTAATTAATGTGTTTTATTATCTTACAATTTATTAAAATTTCACAGAAGAAACTTTTTACTCTGTTACGTGAAAGGATTTTTGGCAACACAGAATTAGATTTAAGATAGGCTGATGCCATTTATAAGATTAACCTCTAGGTGGTTCCTAATTTTCTTTAGTAGGTTAGGGTGATTTCTTTTTCCTTTACAGTTAGACAGCTGTAGCTTAAGCAAAACACGAAAAAGCTCTGTTAGAAACCCAATGAAATATTAGTAAATATAAGCTCTTTATTTTGAAACTTTAGAGTACCCAGAATCTTTCTGAACAGAAAATAATTTTAGTATCTTTGAAATGATTACTTAGTTTTTTGGCTTTGGGTGTACATGCTTAAGAGTATGCTGAAAGTAAAGAAAGTTTATGGAATCTTTTTAAGTGTTAAATTATGAGCAATGTCTTTTAAGCCTGAAAATCTGCTTATTTAGATATAGAAACTAACCTCTTTGTGTGTGTGTGTGTGTGTGTGTGTGTGTGTGTGTGTGTGTGTGTGTAAAGAGCAAGCTACTCAGTCCCAGACTACAGTTCTTGTTGTGACCAGTGGAACTGTGAAGTTTGATGGAAACAGACAGCACTTCTTCAATCAGAATTTCCTGCTGACTGCTCAAACTACTCCTCACAACACTGTGTGGAAGATTGCAAGTGATTGCTTCCGTTTTCAAGATTGGGCTAGTACTAGATAAAGGGACGAAAGTCCATTCTCCTTTGGTCCGTTAGTTTCAGCAACAGTTTATGTGAATTAATTCATTTCATTGTAGTTTTAATTCCTAGCAGCACCTTTTCTAGCAGCTGCCAGTTTGGGTTATTGCCCTTAAGAGCTTTAATGCTAAATTTTTACATGCCTTACATACATTTCACTAATAACATACCTACAGTAATATTATAAACACATGATCTCTGTACTAACATACTCACTGTGAGCCCAGCCTATCGCAAAAATGAAATCCTTTTATAATACTATCTACAGGATATCAGCACAGCATAATTCTCTGGGAGGAAGTAGAGTATTTTTTTTGGTTAAGTTAATTTTGTAATAGAACACATGTATTTTCAGTAAACACCGGTAATACAATTTAAGTATAAGGCTTTTTCAATAAGTTCAAATGAAAATATTACTACTTTTGGTTTGCACAACTACTCTGACATATTAGAATCACAGATAGAGATGTTCAGTGTTACCTAATGTTTTCTATGTTGACATGTTCTTATGAAGTGAATTAATATACTAGAGAGGTATAATATGTTCTTAGTTGATACCTGGGTATTGGATATATTCAGTGACTTACAAGCAAAACTTGTTATAAAGATTTTTCATGGCAGCTCCACGTTTATAACTTTAGGTAATGAATGTTAGTGGGTCACATAGCTTTAATGGGAGAGTAGGGAGTGAGAAATATAGAGATCCAAAGTTGGCCAAAAATTAGGAGGGGTGGCCACATGATAAATTTTTGGTACTTGTTTTCTACCTCCTAAAAATGTAGCCTATTTTTAGGGTTTAAGTCATTAAGATAAGTATCACTGCCAAATGGTCACGAGTGTCACTTTTGTTCTAAAGATTACTTTTAAAGGTTTTTCCAGTTCACCTCATACTTATCATCAATATATGTCTCAATTTATTCAAAAACTTATGGAGGTAAAATGTCAGCAATAAATCGGATCCTGCAGCAGGGTCTAACAGGAAAGTTGGAAACAAAGCCATTGTTCTCTCTTTGGGACACCCTTAACTTCTAAGTCTTCCATGTGAACTTCAGGCCAAAAATCTCCTATGTATTATCCACCCCCAAAGTAAGTGATTTCTTTCCTGTGTTTTACACTGTGAACTATATTGTCTTTTTTTGC